ATTTTGCTTTATTCTATGGCAGAAAGGTTTTGCTCTAGAATATGGATTGCCCCACCTAAGGATCGGGGGCCTGGCATTTTGTACCCCTGCTGTTCAGGTCAATTAGTCATCAGCTGCAGGCTGCCGGTAAGCAGGAAAGTGAGAAATCTCCCAGGCAAGGAGGTTCTCTTCCATCCAAGGCTATCTCTTCAGAGAAGGGGACAGCTGAGAGCCATTAACAGTCAACATGAGCTGGGAAATGGATACATGAGTCCATACAGGGAACCCAGGCAGGGCACCAAGAATACCTGCTACACACAAATTGTGGTTCCTAGAGGTGGGAGTAGAAGGCTCATTTCTTTCTAAACTCTAAACTTTTGGTTGTTCTTATGGAAAATAAGAGAACACTTTATAATGGCATCTTCAGTTTGTTAATAGGACTCTGGCCAATGTTCTTAGACTTGTTCGAGAAACAACCTGCTTCCCCCTCAATTCCACAAACACTCTACGCAAGGATCAGCTTCGCTGGTGAATTCTGCAAAATGTTTAAAGAATTAATACAATCCTTCACAAACTTTTCCAAAAAATAGAAGAGGAGGGAACATTCCCAACTGATTCTGTGAAGCCAGTTTTACCTTGACAGCAAAACCAAACAAAGACATCACAAGAAAAGAAAACTACAGACCAATATCCCTTGTGAATAAGGAGGCAAAATACCACAACAAAATACTACCACATTGAATTCAGCAACAGATTAAAATACACCACAACCAAGGGGGATTTATCCCAGGAATGGAAGTGTGGTTCAACATATGAAAATCAATAAATGTAATAAACCACATGATTAGAATAAATAACCAAACTACATGATCATCGCAATAGGCACAGAAAAAGCATTCGATAAAGTCCAATACCCTTTAAACACTTGTGTGGGCTGAATTGTGTTCACAAAAAGATATGTTCTAGTCCTAACCTTTGGTACCTGTGAATGTGACCTTATTTGGAAATAGGATCATTGCAGATGGATTTAGTTAAGATGAACTCATATAGTATGGGGTGGGCTCTTAATCCAATATGACTGGTGTCCTTATAAAAGGACAAGAGACACAGAGAGAGACCCAGAGGGAGAACACCATGTGATGAAAGAGACAGAGACTGGAGTGATGCATCTACAGCCAAGGAATGCCACGGATTGCTAGCAACGCCAGAAGCTAAGAGAAAGGCATGGATCAGATTCTCCCACAGAGTCTTCAGACAGAGCATGACTCTACTAACACTTTGATTTTGGATTTCTAGCCTCCAGAACGATGAAGGAGAGATTCTTTTGTTTTAAGCCACCAGTTTATGGTACTTTTTTACAGTAGCCCTAGAAAACTAATACAGATTTGGTCAATAAGCATATGGCAATAAGCTCATTTATTACAGAAATAAAAAGAATTATAAGGAAATACTATGAATCATTGCACCTCAGCAAATTAGGTCACCGAGATAAAGTGGACAAATTCCTAGAAAGTCATAAGCTAAAAAAAGTGCACATGAGAAGAAATTAAAAAATCTGAGTAGACCTATAACTGGGGAAACTAATACAGATTTGGCCAATAAGCATATGACAAGATGCTCATTATCATTAGCCATTATGGAAATGCAAATCAAAACTATATTAAGAAACCACTTCAAACCCACTAGGGTGGCTCTAATCCAAAAGACAGACCATAGCAAGTGTTAGCGAGTATGGAGATAAATTGGGACACATACATTGCTGGTGGGAATGTAAAACAGTACAGCCACTGTGGAAAGCAGTTTGGCAGTTCCTCAAAATGCTAAACATAGAGTTACCATATGACCCATTAATTCCACTCCTAGGTGGATACCCATGAGACAGAATACCCATGAGAAAAGAAAAACTTATGTCCACACGAAAACTTGTATATGATTGTTCATAGCACATATGCATAATAGCCCCAAAGTGGAATCAATCCAAATTTCCATCATCTGATGAATGGATAAAAAATGTGATATATTCATACACTGGAATATTATTTGGCAATAAAAAATGAAATACTGATACATGCTACAATATGGATGAACTTTGAAAACATGCAAATGAAAGAAGACAGACACAGGTCACATATTGTTGATTACGTTTACATGAAATGCCCAGAATAGTCAAATTCATAGAAACAAAAAGTGGAGTAGAAGTTGCCAGGGACTGTGGGGAGGGAGCAATAGGTTATGGCTGCTAATGGGTATGAGTTGTCTTTTTTGGGGGTGATGAAAATGTTCTGAAATTAGATAGTTGTGCAACTTTGTAAGTATACTAAATACCATTGAATTTTACACTTTAGAAGTATGAATTTTATGGTATGTAAATTATATTTCAACAAAAAAGGTAAAAAGAAAGACATGTCTGAATGTTATTTTGTGTATAGCTGCATTTGTTTGCACACATGTACACATTGCTTCTTTTATCTGAAGGTCTGTCTATCATCAGTGGTACCATGAGACTGTAGAACCTTTTTTTGTCAATAGAAACAGGTCAATTCCTTGGCCCACAGATATGCCCCTGTGTCCTCGCCAAGCCACAGAGCTGTAGCAGTCTACCTTCCTGACTTCACAGGTCAAATAGTTAAGGTAGACATGTCATGGCAGTCCCCATCTGACTGTGTGGCTGTCCTCTCTCATTGTCTCCTCTGCAGCACCGTGATTGTGTTTTATGTACAGAGTGGGCCACCTTTCAAGGTTCTCAAAGCTGCCGAAGTGGCCCGAAATCTGCACATGCGGCTCTCAAAGGAGAAGGCTGACTTCTTGCTCTTCAAGGTCTTGAGGATTGACACAGCAGGTATGTCCCCTACATGAATATTCAGAGAGAATCAGACTTGCCAATCATGAGTAAGTTTTACAAGCACAGAAAGAGGAGTGACAGATGAACATTTTCACTTTAGCATCCAGGGACTTGTTTTGTATTTGTTTCTCCAGAAGCTTTCCCACAACTCGCTTTTGCTGGCTACCCTTTGTCTTGGAAGGAAACTGGAGAGCAAAAATAGTCATGGGTCAAGTTATGAGACTATATTCACAGATAATGATCATTGTCAGAAATTTCATATTTAAACTGTTAGAACAATGTTAAAGAGATGTAAGTGTTATTGGCCAGAAAAGCCATGTTTATATAACTCACTTACCTTGGACATCAAGCCTTAGGTTGTGATGTAGCCTCTTGAAAATTTAAGGTAGTTTATAAGTGCCTTCCAGCAGTTCCTCTTTCCTTAGCTCCCTGCTTGCCACACCTTCCATGCCACTAAACAGATTCATAGTCCTACGATCTCTTTCCTCATCTCATGAATAACATGAATCTCTTACTATATTGAAGTGGTCGTTTCATTAGATGCCAGGGAACACGAGAGTTACAGGAACATGATAATGTTTGGGCATTAAAATTTAATTTGTTTTGGATATATGTCTACTTACAATTGACTTTCTCAGTTATAATATGGAGTAACTTAATTTTTTTAAATACTTTTTCCCCAGCTTTATTGAGATCTAATTGACAAATGAAATTGTATATATTTAAGGTATACAATGCGATTAATTTTTTAGTAATTCCTTTTTTTTTAGCTACCAAAGTGATATTTATTTATTGTAGAAAAATTGTAATATCCAGAAAGGCACAAAGAAGAAAATAATCCTCTAGATTCTAGAGTCTAGAATTCCCACCATCTATAGATAATTTTGTTAATATTCTGTTGTATTTTTTCCAGTTCCTCCATCTCTAGAAACACTTAATACAATCGGGATGATTTGGTATATATTTTTAATCTGCTTTCTAACCTCAAATTGTGTTATTTTCTCAAATCCTTTAAAATTTATCTTCAGTAAGATGTTTATGGCAGCATGGTATTCCATCCGGGATATGTTCCATAATTATGCAACCAGTTCTCTGTTTATGGACTTTAGGGTTGATTTTAAATAATGCTACAGTATATAGATAAATCTTTGTGCATATCTCCAATTATTTTCACTCAAGCATTCTCAGAATTTATCTTCTAGGGCTGCAGAGTGCTATATTTTTGCTACATTTTTAAGGCTTTTGCTACATGGGGTGGATTGGCTTTTTTCTGTCATTTGCTTCCTGATGAGATTGTCAGTGATGAAAGACTGTCCCCAGAACCTCTGTTCATACCATAAGAGGCTCTCAATTCAATAAGATGCATCTATTTGGGGCCTGTGCTATCGAAGATACAAAAGAAGATGAAGCTGGAATTCTGCTTTTGTCAGAGGTAACCTCAGCCTTGCACACTTCTTTGCAGGTTGCCTTCTGAAGTGTTCTGGCCATGGTCACTGTGACCCCATCACAAAGCGCTGTGTTTGTTCTCAGTTGTGGATGGAGAACCTTATACAGCGCTATATCTGGGATGGAGAGAGCAACTGTGGTGAGTTCTTGGTAGAGGTGGCTTCAGGCAAAGAGCTTTAAGGCAAATCATTCTCAAATAGCATAAATATCTGCCTAGCTTTGTAGCTGTAAACAACGCTTTCATCACCTGAAGCCAAGTGAACCAGCTCACTTGGTAGCGAGTTAAGATCTTCCCTACAATTCACCTTTGGGGCTGTGTTTAGGCTTTTATGTAAAACTTCCCAATGAGGAAATTCACTTTCACGGAGCAGATTTGGCTAAGCATCTAAGGAAGAGTTGCTTTGGGCCATGAACTGCATTTCCAGACTGTACCTGCCTGGACTTAGGCTCAGTGTAACTTTCTGGCGAAGTGGCCCCTGGTGCGTGGATCTGCTGAAATCAGATAGAGAATTTGGCCCATTCTTCCAGGCTGTCTGCCCAAGAAGACAAAATTTGGAGCCACAGCCTCAGCAGACCAAACTGGTACCCTTAGGTCTCTTCTAGGGAGAAAACTATGTTTTTGTTTTTTTTTTGTGTGTGTGTGTGTGTGACCGGTAAGGGGATCATAACCCTTGGCTTGGTGTCGCCCGCACCGGGCTCAGCCAGTGAGCGCACCGGCCATCCCTATATAGGATCCGAACCTGCGGCCACGGCGCTCTGAGCGCCGCACTCTCCCAAGTGAGCCATGGATTCGGCCCAGAAAACTATGTTTTTATGTCAATCTACTTTTAAGAGTAAATATGTTGTCTTGGGGATCCAGACGGACATCACTGGCAGGAAAAATTAACAGCTGATTGCCACATTATGTTCCCACTTAATACTACATAAAATTTTGAAAACTTCCAGCTCTTGGATCATTATTCCAAGGACATTATAGAACATTTAATAGAGGTAAACTTTGTGTCTTTGCTCACTTGCCTTTGTTCCTGAATTGCTGTTGCAAAGCTTTTTACATTGGATTTCTGCAAGGATGTGTGTGGAAGGAATGAAAATCAGGTAGTTTCTGAGTAGCTCTCTGGCTTTGAAAAGTGTCTTCATGCCATAGGCAGCCATACAGATACTTTATTTGCTTTATTAAAACCAAGCAGAACTTTTTGGGGTAGGGTTGTGATTTTTGGGATTCTGGAATTAATATTTTAATGTGCCATCCATGCATGTATAAGAGGCATTACTACTTAATTATTTTTAGTTATTTCCGATTCTTTCATTCTCAAGTCAGCATGAAATATGTGCTCCATGAGGTCCTTGAACCAAATGGACAAAAAAAGGCAGTTTTAGGTTGCTCTTATTTATCTGTATTTTACCTTGCTACGCTCTGCTACCAGCCCGACAAAGTGTTATCAACAGCACAGATGGCTTTTGCTTGTAAGGACTCAGAAATACAATGAATAATCACGATTAAATTGTTTTGCAGATGGTATACAACTATGTCCACTCTGGTTTTCTTGTTTTCCAGAGTGGAGTATATTCTATGTGACAGTGTTGGCTTTTACCCTCATAGTGCTAATGGGAGGTTTAACTTGGCTTTGCATCTGCTGCTGCAAGAGGTACTGGTGTGCTTACTTATGATTATTTATGTGAAATAAAGACACCTCATTAAATGTGATATGACAGTTTACTGTTTGCTAGGGTGTGTTAAACTGCTAAACTGTCAATCACTTTTTTATGAAGACAAACTAGACCTTAAAAGTACTTTATAATGCATGTTCTACCACAAGGCACATGTGCCTAGATAAATGGAATAATCCTAGAGGTAGCTTTTTCTCATTGCAGCTCTCATATTTTCCAGGAGGTTCAATGACTCTATATTAAATCTAATGTTATTCTCTATCAGTCTCATATTATGTTCACTGGAGCGGTACCTAGGAAGTAGCTAGAGGAAGAAGTTCTAGAAGTATACTGGTGCAAATTATAGATTTTAATTATTTTAATTATATGAATCAATAATCTAACCTATGTGAATCCTTTCTAATAAATTTAAAACTTTAAGTGAGGCAATCACACCACCAAGGAGAACTTTTGCCTTAGGTTTTTCCTTCTTCCTTTTTCCATGGAGCTGACCTCTGAGAAGCCCCTGAGCTGCCTCATTGTCCGAATGGGGACAATGTTCCAGAGCCCTGTGCTCAACCCTCTGTGAGGAGACCTGTGGGGAAAGTGTTTACTCAGGTCCGAAGAAGAGAGCGTCAGGTCTGCTTTTCTATACGAAACACTATAAATGCTCTCCAAAGATGTGATTAAAAATAACAGGTTTACCATAATTAATAGTTACTTCTCAGAAAGCACGTATAAATTATTTCAGTTTTATTTGTGACTACCTTCCCAAAGGTAAGAATGGTGAAGGACAGCCAGACACAGGCACCTAGAGGCCTAAATCCCATTAGGTTTTCCCAGAACTATATGGGATGGTTTGTGGCTTTAAACATCCTGCAGCTCTGTGACATATGTAGTTAGTAGATGATGACTGTGAACATTTATTAAGTATTTGCCATCGTGATTAATGTCTAGGTGCTTTATCTGTGTTGTCTTATTTAGTCTCCCGATCAACCATGTGAGAAAGGGACTACTGTTACTCCCATTTTACTGGTGAGGACGTGGAGGCATAGAAGTCTCCAATAATTTTCTTAAAGTCACTAGTTACTAAGTGCTTAACCAAGGGTTAGAAGCTGATGCTCTTAATCACCATACTACCAGAAAATTGCCTTTGTGCTGCAAAATTACTGTTCTTTTGTTCTGTACGTACCTTAACATGATATTGATGTGTATTTTCTACTAATCCTCTGTAGCATAAGATGAGGCACGTAGGACCAGCCCAGTTTTCCTGTGCTGTGAAAAAATGAAAGACCAGGTTGTTGCTAATTGATTCTGGGAATTTATTATAATTTCTGCTGGGTTTTTTTTCTGTCTATTTTTTTTTCCTGGTTGCTAGTGTGTGACATTTCTTCATTCCTGCATCTTTGGACATTCCAGGGTAGTATAGGTTCAGGGGAAAACTTCCTCATTCAGGTTTTTCTGAGCAAGGAGTTGCTCATGGAGAAGAGCTCCCCAGGCCGACACTCAGGTGTTGAGGACTGCTCTGGCACCTCAGCCTGAGGCTTAGCCAAGACCTGTAGTTGGATGGGTGATGGTGGTGTGGCCATGCGCACCCCTAAATGTTTCTTCAAGATTCGTAATGTGTGTAAGCCCCAGTGAACTCTGAAGTGGCCTTGCGTTTGTATTATTAATAAAGATGCCAACTATTACACAGTAGAGGTCAAACACTTCCCCTAGTGCCTTCCATGGGCTTTAAATCCTGGGTCCCAGTTCCCTTTCTGAGAATCTGAGTCAAGCTTTTCATCGTTCCTTTCAGACGAAAAAGAACTAAAATAAGGAAAAAAACAAAGTACACCATCCTGGATAACATGGATGAACAGGAAAGAATGGAACTAAGGCCCAAGTATGGTAAGACCGCCTCCACGATGATCTCCTGGTACCTTTAAACGATGTAAGCAGGCATTTGCCTGAGAGGTAACTTGGGTGAAAGAAAGAGCAGTGGGCTGGACTCAGCGCTTTAAGCGGGAGGGAAGAGTGAGGTCGGGATTCTATGACAAAAAGTGACCCTCGTAGGTCCTGAGGATGTGCTAACTGCAGGGGCAGTCATTGTACGAGGGTGGAAAGATCGTATTATCTTTTTTGTGTGTGTGTGTGTGGCTGGTCTGTAAGGGGATCTGAACCCTTGACCTTGGAGTTATCAACACCATACTCTAACCAACTGAGCTAACTGGCCAGCTCCATATTATCTCTTAATTCTGTTTTTCCATGAACTTTTTGAAGTACTCTTGTATTATATAAATATAACAAAATTTCAGCAAAGTACTGAGTCATTAATGGATGAAGGATACAGAATGCCTGTTATCAGCTGAGCACCTGCCAAATGACCACGGACAGACTGCTTTGCAAACAGACGCATCCCCAGTGCCTGGCTTTTCCTCCTCGTGCCTGGAGGGTGGGGGGGCGTGCAATGCGGCTCCACCCCGCTCATCTCTGAGTGCGGTTCCCTTTAGGTCTGCTTAACCAGAAACGCAGCAAAAGGCCATTTGGACTTTAAAATCTAACAGTTTCCAGCAGCGGCATTAGCCCATTAGCCTTGTGTATAGACGGACGCAAAGGCTTCTACAGAAAATTGACTTTCTTCCCAAGTGTATTGATCCCTATGCTTAGAACCACCTCTTCCCCACCTCAGTTGACTTTTTGATTCTCCTTTATTAACTGTTGCACACTTAATGAACCTTCTTGGCCCTAGAGGCTGCTTAGCACCAATTCTACGGGTTTTACATAATTCTGGGTTTACAGCTAAATTAATTCTTACAGAGGGACATAATCACTTTCAAAGTTATGAGAGGCAAATGCTCTCCATGGTGAGTGTTGAGTGCCTGCCCTATGCACAGACACCGGCTCAGACCCTGTAGACAGGGAGGAACCTGCCTCTGCAGGAGCTCACGCCTGAGGGAGAAGAAATACACTGGAGTGCAAGAGTCCTGCAGAAGCGTGCTGTATTAGCCCATTTCTGTTGCTTGTAGCAAAATACTGAGAACTGGGTGATTTATAAGAAAACAAAATTTATTGCTTACAGTTTCTGAGGCTGAGAAGTCCAAAGTCCAGGGAACACAGCTGGTGAGGGTCTTGGTGGTGGTGACAGCGGCAGCAGGGTATCCCATTGTGGAAAATGGTGGTGCAGAGAGAGCAGAGCAGAGAAATAGCTCCTCATCAACTCTCCTTTATAAAGCCCTCAGAACCACACTCCTGACCTCCATTATTAATCCATTCACCATGGCATGGTCCTACAGTCTAATCACCATAATAGGATATCCCACCCTCAACAGTTACGGTGGGGATTAAGCCTCAATGAGTTTGGGGGGTGGGGAACATCAAGTCCACAGCACATGCCCTGCAGGAACCCAGGGCAGAATGGCCGACTGCGAATGGAGAGTGTAGTAAGGGGCTTTGGCAGGAAAAGCTTCACCAGAAGTGTAAATCATAGCCTACATTTATTGATGCTCTACATGGCATTACATCATTGAATTAGAGATGTTACAAAGTGACTTTATACCTAAGAGGTCAAAGTGCGTTAGGTTGTATTGTCTCACCCACCTTCCTCCTTGAAACACACTCATCCTCTGACATTCCCGTTTCTATTCATGGAAGCCCCATTCTGCTTATTACCCATGGTCGAAACCTCAGTCATTGGTCCTCCACCTTCCTCCACTGCAGCCACCCCATCTTGCCTGGTCCCTGGCCCTCCTTCCTCATCATTATCAACACCCTAGTTCAGATGCTTATAATCTCACTTCTGAACTAATAGTGATAATAATAATAATAGTTAATTAATATGTACTAGGTACTTTTGAAGCACTTTTCTTAATTCTAATCATTCCAACAGTTCTATGGAGTATTTACTATGATTTATCCCCATTTTACAGAAGAGGAAACAGAGGCAAAGGAAAGTTTAGCATATTGCTCAAGTAGCAGAGCTGGTGAGCGCCAAAGGTGGGCTGGAGCAGGCCATGTGCTTCAGAGCCTGGGTCTCTCTCTCTGCGCTGCGCTGCTTCTGTCTTGGTCTGTTTGGGCTGCTCTAACAAAATACCTTAGACTGGGTGGCTTATAAACAACAAACATTTATTGCTCACAGTCTGGAGGCTGGAAAATCCAAGATCAAGGTGCTGGCAGACTTGGTGTCTGGTGAGAGCCAGTTCCTCATAGCTAGTGACTTCTCACTGCGTCCTCGCATGGTGGAAGGGGCAAGGCCCCTCTCAGGTGCCTCTTTTATAAGGGCATTAACCCCATTTGATCACCTTCCAAAGGCCCCACCTCTTAGTACCATCACTTTGGGGGTTGGGTTTGAACACATGATTTTTGGGGGGAACACAGACATTCAGACCATAACATCTCTGTGTCTGCGGTCACCTCTCCAGTGGCCTCTCTTTCTTCCTTCCATCCTGCACACTGTGGTTTTATTAATGTCTTAAACAACATTTTTATTGTGTCATCCCTCTGCTTACAGGATACAATCCAAATTTCATGGTTAACCTTGTATTCATGTGTTTTCCTGTGAGGTCCCAGCCTCTCTCACTAGCCTTTTATTCATTATTTCCTACATGAATCATTCACTTCAAACAGACCATTTTTCTCTAAATGCTTTTGGATCTCTGGGCAAACTCCATGCCCTTCCCCACCTGCTGTCCAAATCCTCCTCTTTCTTCAAATCCCATCCTATGTGAAACATCACTGCTGCAGTCCCAGCCACAGTGTGTGCTTATCGCCTCTTGATTCATGTAAGATTTTTTTTTTTTTTTTATATTTCTTGCCTCTTATGAGCCATCTTCTATGTTTTAAACCTCTGGCTGGACACTAGAAATTCTTTCAGAGCAGGGCTCATATCCTATACCTGTTCTGTCTCTTATTTTGACCTCCAGAAATAAAATATTCTACCAAAAGTATTTGATTGAGCCAGATGGTAAAATCACAAAGCTTTCATTTATTGGGTGCTATGTGCTGAATGGTGGTGCAGGAGCTTTACATGCACAATTTCACTTAATCCTCACCATAAACCCAGATGGTAAGGCTTTGTTATCTTCTAATGTAATAGAGGAGGAGACTGAAAGTCCAGAGAGGTTAGGTCCCTTGCCCAGAGACACATGGCTGGTGAGTGTCAAAGCCAAACTGCCTGCTGTGTGTGAGTGACTTCTTTGAAGGTACGGAGAGCACAACTCCGTGCTCCTCACGTGACCTGCAACCAGGGTGACAGACAGCTGAGAGTGGAAAATGTGTTTCTCCTAAGATGCTTCTGTCTTCTTCTCCCTAGGTATTAAGCACCGAAGCACAGAGCACAACTCCAGCCTGATGGTGTCTGAGTCTGAGTTTGACAGTGACCAGGACACAATCTTCAGCCGAGAAAGGATGGAAAGAGGGAATCCAAAAGTTTCCATGAATGGCTCCCTCAGAAATGGAGCTTCTTTCAGTTATTGCTCAAAGAACAGATAATGGAGCAGTTGTAAAATGGGAGGCCCCCAAAGGAGTCTGCATCAGGACCAGTCAGTGGGAGTTAAAACACAAAACCGACTCTTGTTAGAATAGCACATGGACATCCTTTTGCAGTGGGCTGGATGTGTGTTCGCACATATTAAAAGACCTGTTTTCTTGGGGCTTTCAAGATGTAAAACAAAACAAAAATATTGCTCTTTTAATTGGGTTCTTAATAGGAGTAAAGGCTGGGTCAAACTCTAAGGAACATACTTAAAAGAGTTTTGTGTTTTTGTAGCTGGCACAATATTATATTGGCCATGTTAAAATAAAGATTAACACCTGTTTCTATCTGTAGCACATTAGGGAAGATGAGTTAAACAAGGATTTAAAGAGGGCTGATTTCTCCCAGTAGCTGTGATTGTTGAGGACAACTTTATAAACACTGTTTTTCTTTTAGGAAAAGATTCAGTTGGCTGTGAGTATTGAAGTAGTTTATCCTAGCAGTATGGGTCATCTTCTGTGCAGTGAATTTTCTGTGCTGACAGCAATGCTCATGCACAGCAAAGTCCTCCTGTTTTTACTCCTTTGCTATGTTTTCTCTAGAAAGCAGCTCTTGGAAGTTCAAGAGCTAAAGAAGAATTGTATTCTAAGGACAGAAGACACTAGGGAGGCAGGAGGGGTTTAATGACTTGTAGATTGAAAGCCGAAGGTAGCATTTTAGTATTCTTTATCTTTTCTTTTTCTAAGAAAAACAAACTACACTGAGGCCTCTCTTAGCCCCAGTTTCCATTAAACACAATAAAAGTGATTATTAATTCATTAAACATTTCTTGAGTATGCAGGCCATGCATTTGGACAGCCATAGAAAGGGATAACGACCCAGCAACTGTGTATATATTCTGAAACTCTGAAATACAGTCAGTCTTAAGTAGGATGGTATGGTCATGATACTCTGGTCCCCTACAGGTACTTTGTATAATAATAAGTGGACATAGACATATACACTTCACATGTTTAAAAAGATATTTATTAAAGTTTTTGTATGAAATTAATCTTATTTTAAAGATATGGAGGGAAAAAAATCAAACCATTCCCACCCACAAAGCAGCATCCCAGAGCAATTAGCTGGAGTTAACTGTAGCCTGCCATGGTGATTGGCTCGTGGTGGTTTCTTCTCCACTCATGGTCCTGACACTGGGGGCCTTGCGTTTTTTGGTGGGAAGAGTAGAAGTTTAGAAGCAGTGCTGTGGCTTCGAGTATGACCACACCTGTACAATATCCTGTTGCACAAGGCTTTTGTAACACGTGGGGAAACTAGGATCGCTTTACTGATTGAGAAGAGAAGCAAGGCCTCTAAACCATCAGAAAATGTGTCCAGTGGGTCCCTGGAAAAATTTAAGCTTTTAGGTGCTTTTGCCATCTCCAGGAATATTCATCCTCATGGGACCATCTTGTCTTTAATAATTGTACTTTACTGGGGAATGTCAGAACTAAAAAGTATAGGCATGTAATTTTATTTTTTAATTTCTTTGCTTATGTGTATACTTTCTGTACAGCTAGCCACTTCAATATTATCTATAGCATTAGAAGGAAAAGGCGATGCTTTTTATACCAGTATTTAGCTTCATAAACTTAAAATAGCCTCTACCCAGTTATTTTTGCGCACAACTGGAAATTTCTGGTGTAGAGGATGCAGCCCAAATGTGAAGTCAGAGAGCTTGATGAAGAAGGGAGTGGATATTTATTGCTTGTACATAGCATATGCGTTTTACATACTCAATTGATCCTTATAATCAACCCTGTGAAGGAGATATTATTATATTATTATTCTTAAGTTGCAGATAATCCTGTGAAGGTCCAGAGAGGTTAAGTAACTGGCCTGAGTTCACAGCCAGGAAGTGGTGGATCTGGAAATTGAATGGAAATTTTTTAAACTGCAAAATCCTGCTTTTCACTTGTACCCAAAGAACTCTTATGACAACTGTCGGAGGGCAAATTCTGGTGGACCTTCTGGATCACCTGAAAGTTCTGTTCCTAGGACTAAGGGAATTCCTTTTGAGTGTCCAGAGAGCAAAAGACAAAGGGAGAGATTGCCTGTCCAGTCTCTCCTTTTGGATTGCATCCTGGGCGACCCCTTCCTCTAGGTTTGCAATGTGCGGCTTCTGCCCCTCCTCCTTCTCTGTCCCTGGCCACCTCAGCCTGGCCTCTCTGGTCCTTGCACCACAGAGGGATCTTGAATCTGTGGGGAACCAAAACTGAACATCAGACTAGTGATCAGAAAGCAGGTCCTCTCTTGTTATCCCACTCCTCATCAGAGGACCAGAGTGAGGTGGAAGGACCAGCCAGCATTCTTGGTCTTGTGCTGCTCATCACTAAGGGTCTTTGGGAGATAAAGCTCTCCAAGAGCTTTGGACAGACAGACAGAAACAGGCCCTAGAATATGGGAGAGGGCACTTGTAGGGTGCACGTGCTAATAAGCAACTGTACTCTTAGTTGTTGGTTTAGATTCAATGAAGAATTCAAACCCATAGCATTAAGAGGCTAAGCATGTTTATGACTAAAGAACCTTCTGAAAAACATGCAGCAAGGTAAGAATACTGACCACTCAGCATGCCGATGATGCCACCCTTGTGGGCAGGAAGGAGGGGACTACCATTCTTTTTGTGTGTGCCCAAGCTGTTATGGACTCTAAGTGTTGGTTTTATTTTTTTTTAATGTATTATTTTCCCCCATGTGTTGACAAGGTATCATTTCTAGTGTAACACTATTAAATTATTGTACTAATCTAAATTAAGGTGTCTGTATTTTATGTACTGCTTAGTTATTTTTAGGGGGGAAATATGTTTTCTTTACGTTTACATGATTTCCTTTGAGTATGGGCCAGAAAACTGTTACCTGCAGCCTGTTTTTGCACATCCCATGAGCCAAAAAATAGATTTTATGTTTTCAAATGTTTGGGAAAAAAGATCAAAAACATATTTTGTAACATATGAACTATATGAAATTCAAATATGTGTCCATGAATAAAGTTTTATTGGAACACATCTACATTCATTCATTTACATATTTTCTATGGCTCCTCTATGTTACAACAAAGTTGAGTAGTTTCTACAGGGGCTGTCTAAAAACCTAATATATTTACTACCCGGCCCTTTGCAGAAAAAAAAAAAATTTCTGCCAAAGGCTAGAGTCAAACCCCCTTCTCCCACCTCCCTGTGGGGAGACAGGTTTGGGAGGAACTGAGCATGCTCAGCTTGGCCTGTCTTCTCTTCCTTGCACGGGCGGTCTACCCCCAGCTGGAGAAGACCTACAGTTTGGTGATGGTGGGAAGATTAGATTCAGGAGTGTGTACTTAAATTACATCCCCTAATCTAGCTTTTATTAGTAAGAAAGCTGATAATTCTTATTTTATTGATAATTTTATTAAGGTATAATTCACTTACAGTAAACTGCACATAAAGAGCACCATTTGATAAGTTTTGATATGTGTGCACGCCTGTGAAACCATCACCACAATCAAGCTAACATAGCAACACATACATCACCCCCAAGTTTCCCTGTGACACCTTGTAATCCTTCCCTCCCCTGGTGATGGAGTTTGGATGTGTTGTCCCCTCCAAAACTCATGTGGAAATTTGATCCCCAATGTGGCAGTGTTGGAAACTGATTGAGTCATGGGGGCGGATCCCTCATGAATGGATTAACGTTCTCCCTGGGGGAGGAGGGGAAGTGAGTGAGTTCTCCCTCTATTAGTTCCCGAGAGAGCTGATTGTTTGTTTAAAAGACCCTGGCGCCTCCTCTCTCTTGCGTCCTCTCGCCATGTGATCTGCTTGTACCCTCCGGCTGCCTGCCACTTTTCACGAGTAGAAGCAGCCTGAGGCCCATAACAGATGCAGCTGTCCCAGAATTGCAAGCCAAATAAACCTCTCCTGTTTATAAATCACCCAGTCTCAGGTATTTCTGTTATAGCAACACAAATGGACTAAAACACCTGGCAATCAGTATTAATTAGCTTTGAATTTTCTATGGTTTCATATAAAAGGAATCATACTCTATGTATCCATTTTTGGAGCTTTACTCCCTCAAACAAGAAGTTCCCTCCTTTTCAAGCTGTTTAATTCAAACAAAATTTGATGAAGTAAATAAGATGAAGCAAATTTGGTGAAGTAAATACTCGTTAAGGTAAAGATGCTGGTAATGGGAGTGGGGCTATTGTCGTTCAGTAAACTAGTTAAATGGCTCCAAGTTCATTGTTAAGTCCTGAAAGAGCTCTGTATTAGTTTACTGAGAGACCAAAACTATGCTTTCTAAGAGTAAATGAACCAAATTTTCATAATCTCAACAATGATGATTTTCCATTACTGAAACTAAAGGATTTTTTTTTTTTTTTTTTTGTCTTTTATCTTTTTCCGTGTCCGGCAACGGATCGCAACCCTCAGTGTTGTCCCCGTACCGCACCGGGGACCAGCAATGGGATTGCAACCCTCGGTGCTGCTCCCGCGCCTCGCTCAGCCAGTGAGCAGGAACCGGTCTGTACGTGGGATTGGAACCCTCGGGCGGGAGCGCCACCGCGCTTCCCAAGCGGCGCACTTATCCAGTGCGCCACCGGGCCGGCCCAGGATTTTTTTTTTTTAATTTCCTCAGTATTATGGGCTAAATTGTGTTCTCTCAAAATTCATATGTTGAAGTCCTAACCCCGGTACTCCAGAATATGACTGTATTTGGAGACAGAGCCTTTAAAGAGGTAATTAAGTTAAGAAGAGGCTGTTAAGGTGGGTCCTAATCCAATCTCACCGGTGTCTTTTGAAGATGAAGGGACTGGGACACACAGAGACACATCAGGAGCACACACACAGAGGAAAGACCATGTGAGGACACAGTGAGAAGGCGGCAGTCTGTAAACCAAGGAGAGAGTCCTCAGGAGAAACAAACTTGCCAACACCTTGATCTCAGACTTCTAACCTCCAGAACTGTAAGAAAGTAAACTTCTGTTATTTAAACCACCCAGTCTGTGGTATTTTGTTATGGCATCCCTTGCAAAATAATGCACTGAGATAAATCTGAGTCCGCCTAAGATTTAGCATAAAACTTTTATTTTAAAGCTTTCCATAGTGAAGTATTATCCCATTAACCGTGGAGAAAAAGTGAGATGTTTCCCAACATAAAGTTAAGAGAGACCTGTAGCCTCGGTGAGTTCACTGAATAACAAAACCAGTCATTCCAGAAGGGGGTAGACACAGGGGCTGGCAGTGCAATTTCTTGTTTTGGGTGCTGGTTACAGGGTGTGCTCAGTTTCTTGGAACTCAACAAGCTGTTCACTTATTCTATAACATAATTTTTTGCACATATATTATACCTAAATGAAAAATTTAAAATAACCCCAAAAACCCTTGCCAAGTGACTTTACTTTCAAAGTCAGCTATAAAGAGACAGCTCAAGGGATTTCCTTGGAGGAGATGAAAGAGTTCTGTATCTTGATTATGGTGATGGCTACACAAATCTTCCTATTGGTGTGATAAAATTGGGTACAACTACCCATACCTGCACACACAGTGAGTGCACATAAAAACTGGTGAGACTGGAATAAGGCCTGTACTAATGTCAGATTCCTGATCTGACATTGTTAGTTATGCAAGATGTTAACCATCGAGGAAGCTGGGTGGAGGGTACACGGGACTCTATTATTTTTGCAACTTCCTATGAGTTTATAATTATTTCAAAAAAAAGTTAAAAGATGTTGAGGGGGAAAAGCCAGATTCATGATTAATAGTGAAATACCAGAATTTAATGATTTCTATTAAAATCAGGATGAAGTTAAGAAAAAAAAGGTAAAGCCACAATTTCTCCAACTAACTGGTCCATAGAGCCTCCCTTTTTGAGTTGCGTTAATGAATGGCACAGCTTCCTTTATTTGCAGCCTACATGGTGAATATCACCACCTCTGTTTTTCTTTTTTTTTTAAATTTTATTTTATTTTGTCAGTATACAATGTGGTTGATTATTGTGGCCCATCACCGAAACCTCCCTCCTTCCGCCCTCTCCCCCCTCCCTCCCAACTACCTCGTATCTGTTCACTTGTATCAACTTCAAGGAATTGTAATTGTTGTGTCTTCTTCCCTCCCCCCATGTTATTTGTGTATTTATTTATTTATTTATTTATTTATTTTTAGCTCCCACAAATAAGTGAGAACATGTGATATTTCTTTCTGTGCCTGACGCGTTTCACTTAATATAATTCTCTCTAGGTCCATCCATGTCGTTGCAAATGGCAGTATTTCATTCTTTTTTATAGCAGAGTAGTATTCCATTGTGTAGATATACCACATGTTTCATATCCACTCATCTGATGATGGACATTTGGGCTGTTTCCAACTCTTGGCTATTGTAGATAGTGCTGCAATGAACGTTGGAGAACAGGTATTCCTTTGACTTGATGATTTCCATTCCTCTGGGTATATTCCCAGCAGTGGGATAGCTGGGTCATATGGTAGATCTATCTGCAATTGTTTGAGGAACCTCCATACCATTTTCCACAGAGGCTGCACCATTTTGCAGTCCCACCAACAATGTATGAGAGTTCCTTTTTCTCTGCAACCTCACCAGCATTTATTGTTCAGAGTCTTTTGGATATTAGCCATCCTAACTGGGGTGAGATGGCATCTCAGTACCACCTCTGTTCTTCTAAAGGTGATGAACCCAGAGTTGCAGGACTGAGGTCTCATCACAACAGCAAGAGCACACATATCCTTATAGAATGTGACACACCATCTGCAAAACACCCACATCCACTAAACCACTGGGCAGGGGTGTTGTCTGTGGTCTAAATCGTGGCTAGTCCTTCCTACTTTGCTAATAAAATGGATGGATTATAGGTAAATCTGCAGTCCCCTGATTTCCAAAACCATCTCTATTCATTTATAAATATTACATGCAAGTAGAATATGCCTGTGGCCTTTTACCACTCTCAAATTGAGCAGAGACAAACAGGACTTTTTCCAGATAGGTCTCCCAGACTTAATAAGTGAAAATCACACTAATTTACTTTTTAACTGTTGTAAACTAAATCACAGACAAAGCAGCTGTAACAGAAGAAAATTTACTGATATTTAGAGAATGAAAAAGGTAGGAAGATGACATTTCCTTCTAAGCAAAGACCTAGGCCAAGCATGTAAAACACCCACAAATTGAGAGTTATGTGGAGTTTCCTCTGGTAACAAAGTAATTTTAAAAATCAAAAGCAAGTTAAAAGAAATGTATAAAATATATGAATGACAAAGGCAGATGTGTTTCAGGTGACACTGTTCTTTATTCCAGCAAAAACCTTTGCTTTGTTAAAGCCTAAGGATAATTTCTGGCCCAATGAGGCCACATGAAATTTCTTAAAATATATCTGGATAGCAGGGTTTTAGCAAGGTTCTTCCTCATACTTTTCTGTATTTAAAAAAAAAAAAGTTGAAAAAATTGTATAACTGATAATAGTGGAGTGTGTAGAAGACAGATTGGCATATTTGAGACTGCAAGGGATCCCTTCTTTGGCAGCCACCCCTGCAAATTTACCTGGGTAAATTCTTAGTTCAGTTCAGCCACCATCTAATGAACACAAACCGTGAGACTGGCCCTCCCCTAGTAGTCACTGGTGCACATAATTTCACACGCTGGCTTCTGGCCCAAGACGCTCACTGACCAGCAGCTCTCTTGGGAGGGAGCCCTACTTACTCATAGCCAAACTAGTCTAATACCATCCAGTAAAAACTCAAATGATGTCCTGGCAAGAAAAACAAACAAACAAAAAAACCCCAAAAAAACCACAACCAGACACTTTAACACAGAAATAGGAAATTTTGTTAATTCAACATTTATTAATCACACACACACACACCTCTGTCTACCAACTAGACACTGAAACACAAAATTGTCAAAAACTAGAAAAACAAGTTATGTGCACATGTTTAAACAGCAAAACATTTATACATTTCCTACTACACTTATTCTCAAGTTTTATCCCACAAAATATGACATGACACAATCACAGCATTAAAATTCAAGTAAAATCCTATTTAAAATAGCTGCACATGGGTAATTAAGACTCTGGGATCTAACCTTCAGAGAAGAAAGTCATGTGGCACATTTTCAAGTTTATAATTGAAGTTAACAATAACATAGATTTGTTTACATTTGCTTCTGATCTTTATTTTACTGAGTCAATCCATAGAATAAAGGTAGAAGAAACAGCACTTGACGTAAAATCATATTTAAAAGCCACTTAAACATACACAGACAACAGATGCACATCAGCTCTTTAAATGAGAATCCCTACATAGCTGGAGGAAGTAAATGGAGAAGTGTTTTTTCAAGGCCAATAGATTCTTGTTATCTGGGTAATTTCATTTGGGTTATAATTGCTGGGAAGTTCCTGCTGAGAACTCATGGTAGCAATGCTCGGAAAAGTACTTCCTACACAGGAGGTATTAATAAAATGAAATAATAACTGATAAACTCAGGAAGGGCAGTATCTCCCTCTTGGTCTAGATCAGGGGCTGGCAAACTTTTTCTTTAAGGAACCAGATACTAAATATTATTTGAGGCATTGTAGGCTATACTGCCTTTGTTGCAACTATTCAACTGCCAAGAAAGTAGTCATTGCAGAGACCATACCAAAAATGGATGGGTGTAATTGTGTTTCAATAAAATTTTATTTACGGACACTGAAATCTGAATTCCATATAATTTTTGTGTCGTGAAAGATTGTTCCTCTTTTTATTTTTTTCCCATTTGAAAATATAAAGACCATCCTTAGCTCATGGGTTGTACAAAAACAGGTGGCAGACCAGATTTGGCTTGTGGGCCATCGTTTGCCAACCCCAGGTCTAACATTCCTTTGCTATTTCATGTTGTAAAATATATTTTTAAAAATTCCCATTCATCACATATGGTTACCTTTATTGAAAAATAACAACAAAAAATGTTAATTTAAAAATGATTCTCTTTCTTCCTACAACCCAGAATCATTTTACTAAACAATAAGTTATTTCTTTTTCAAATGATTTTAATTACAAAATTGATCAAGGATATTGCAATGAGTCTCTGGCTCTCATTCTATGTATCTAGGGGTCCAAACATGCAAGGAAATTTAAAAATCTGCCACCCAGCCAAGGAATCCACTGGCTTACAAAGTTAAAAATTTATTCAAAAGTATTCCTCCACACATCTCAGCACCAGTATTCAGAGCATTTGTGTTCTTGATAGAAAAAGGATGGATACACCCAAATCTTAAGTAGAATATTATATAAAGCCACCTAAAAACTATGCAAATAAAGAGCAGAAATTAACTGTCAAAACACTGCATATGTGGTTCTTGCCCAGGGGTGGGCAGTGTCAGTAAGAGGTGGATTTCAGCTTTTTTCTCCTTCAGGCCTTCGGGATAGAGCTGGTATAATCCAAGCCAGATGTGAGGCAGCTCCAGGACTTGAGGCCATCCCTATGCACACAAGGACGTTCTAGAACTTTTATTACTCACCCACAGCTCCCCAAAGGCTCAGTGAGGAATGCTACATACTGGGCGGGGTTCAGGAGTAATGGCCTCTAGAGCTACTTCCATTCATGTTTTCCTTCCATCACTGGGAATATCCACAGAACATGAGTGGAGTCTACACACAGGAGATGGGAAGAAGGAGGAGCACTGCACCAGGACAGAAAGACCAGGCTGCATGCAACAGCCACTTCCTCAGGCTTGGGGGTGGGCAGATGGGCACCAGTCTCCCCTGATCTTGGCAAAGCCACTGCCAATGCACAAGAGGGGGCTGGGTGGGGCTGTTCATGATGATAACAATAGCTCTTGCACTTACAATGAACTTTTGTTTTTTTGCAAAGCACTTTCACTTTCTCTCAGGCTCACAATATCCCACTGAGCTAAGAACGGCCCACGTGGACTTTGCACTCCCCACGTGGGATGGGAGGTGCTGAACAGCACGACCAAGGTAGCAAAGCTCCTCCGTGCAGGAGCCAGGCCGAGCGAGCACGTGCTTCCCATTCTCCAAGCTGCCTCTGCTAGTCTTTGCCTTACGCTTCACTCATTTCCTAAAGAAAACAAAATGAGGTGGCCAAGAGGGCAGAAATGAAAACATAACCTTTAAGCAGTAAATTTAGAGTGATGAAGACTTCAATTTAAAAATTGACCCAGCAGAAGGGAGAGGTGCTCCTTCATTCCTCACAGAGGCACGGGCAGTTCTGTGCTATTTCAGCAGTTTTTTAAAAAAAATCATTAACTCAACCTCTGCTGCAACACCTCCACACACACAGTGTCTTTAGTGCTGGGCTGGCAGATGGCTAGGGAAGGGGTTGCTGTGCCCCCAACCTGCCCATCAGTCATACTCAAGGGTCTCCCTTGAAATGCTCAGGGCCCAAGCTCTGAAGCCATGTAGGAGATGGTGGTGTCACTGGCCAGGCAGTGATCAAGCCTTTGTGACAGGTCAGAGGGCTGGCCAGCCTCACTGCACCTTGCCCCAACACAGACTGGGATGTGCTGGGGTCCCAGGGCTTCCTCCTGTAACCCTGATGGTGGCTCTCCTGGGTTCTGCAGCCACAGAACGTGGCACATATTGGTCCCTAGTTAGGTAAGGAGAGAGTAGAATTTGCATCTGCTTAAGATTATGAAGACTAGATGAGTTCTAAAAAATTCATCATTCAGATAACCTATTAGTTTATTTTAAATAGTTGATGGCATTTCCCCATATAAGGGAAGCTCCTTTTGTTATTTTTTAAAGGACTGAAGACTCCTACAAGCCTCCGTAACACACATACTTGAGTTCCAGATACTCATCAATGCCATACTTGGACCCCTCTCGCCCAAGGCCAGACTGCTTCACCCCACCAAAAGGGCACTCCACAGAGGACATCAGTCCCTCATTAACGCCCACCATGCCAACTTCCAGCTGCTCCGCCACTCTCCAGATCTGGGCTGGGTCTTGAGAGTAGAAATAACCTGTCAGAGGGATAAAGGGACACATATAGCACATAGAATATTCCTTAAAAACATCCTGTCTATTGGTGGAGGATTCCTGGTCTCGTCACTCAGGCCTGGAAGCCTCCTGCTCCCAGACAGAACCTCCTGTCCACTTCTTCATCTCAGAACCTTTGGAAATTATCTTTTGCTTCTGTTCCACTCACTTCATCATGACCGAAACAAAAACCTCCACAGCTCCTGTTTTCTACTATTCAATCGATGCCACACACCTGTTAGACTTGCATGTGACACTTTTGCCCAAACCTTTCCGTGACACTGGATATCTATAAAATAAGGTTAAATTCCTTAGTGGGTATTCAAGCCCTCCCTAATGTGGTTCCAATAACATTTTCAGCTTTACCTTCCATCACTCTAGTCACTACCCTCTTTTGCCAACTTCTCAACCAAATTCTGCTCACTCTTTTTTCGCTTCTGAACTCCTTGGTCCCCTCTGCCCAGACTCTCTCTTCTCAATCTCTGCAAAGTCAGAATCCTGCCCACCACGTATGACCTACTTCAGGGCTTGGCTTACTCCACCATCATGCCATTCAGATGGGAAGAAACAAATATTGAACTTAGAAGTCCTTACGCACACATCTTATCCCAGCTTTATAATAACTCTTGAGTATGCAGCACAGGGTAAGGGACCCCACAGCATACTTATCCTTCCTCTGGTTATAAATAGTTCTCTCACACCTAGAAAAGAAGCTTCTACAGAGCTACAGATGTATCTTACAAGTCTTTGCATCTCCCTCAGTACTTCATTCACTGTGGATGCTAATACATGACTTTGTCAGGGTTGTAGAGTACATATTGTGGCCACCTTGACCATCTGCAAACTAAAAGACCAGCCACTCAGTGACGCCCCATCTGTACACACTAACTTCGTTCTATCCACTGTCTTAACACTCTCTGAAGATGCCCTTAGTCTAAGGCTTCTTCTATTCAGCCTTCTTCTGAGCCAGGCAAAATAGAAGAAAAGCACTTGGAATTTCTGGGCATTCAGACTCTGTGAATATGGGATGTATGAGGTGTACATGATTCTCTGCCTAGAGCAATTTGCACTGTATTTTCTCTCCATGCTCCCCCAGTTCTAACGAGAGAGCTTCCAAATGTGTATCATGGGGTCAAGGCAAAAGAACAGCACAAATCCATCCTTGCCAGTTGGAAAGCAATGAAACATATTCCACTGAAGTTTCCTTCTCAAAACCCAGGGCGATGTTTAAAAGGCAAAGTCCGGCATTAGCCTGAGACAGGATAGCGACTGCTGTTGCACAAGGACAAACACCCACCTGCCAACCCAACGTCAGCTGCGTTAGCGATCACGATAGCCTCCTCCTCTGTGTCGAACCTGTCAAAGTTAAGACAGGTCATAAGCTAAATATGTAAGGGGAACAGTGAAGAAAACCAGCTTTCTTTTTTCCTAATTTGTTTCCCAAATAATGGCAAGGGACAAATTGGAGTGTTGTGAAAAGATCCAAGGGCAGAGTCTAGAAGAAAACAACACCATTCACGGAGATGCCTCAGTGTTCAAGGCTAGCACGCTCACAGCAATACTGGCCTCACCTCTTCCAAGAGAACAAGAAAACAGCAGATCACTGTGCAGGAGCTGTGGCATATCCAGAAAACCAAACACCAAATCCCTTAAAAAAGGACTGCTGTTCTTGCTACCTACTGAGAATACTGTATATAACAATCATAACAACAACTTCAGAAGCAAGCATAATATATCAGAAAGAAAACAGTTCAGAGGAGGTTGGGGCCGGGCGCTGATGTCAGCTCTTCCTCTTAGAACCCTTAACTATTGATAAGTGCTTAGAGCCTCTTCGTCTCTGAAGCGAAGGAGTACACCAAAGCCCTATGCGGTCTCCTCCAGCTTTGTAATTTTATTTAAGGAACAAGATTTGAGTGGTATTCTTCTGTTGTTCCAGAATTGTAACTGGGACACAAGGTTCTAAGTACCCTAATTTCTAAATTCAAAGACCTACCAGCAGCAGGAGGCAGCTCTCTCTCTGCAGGACTTACAGAGGGGCACTGGGCAGAGCTAGCCCAGAACAGTCAACTTGTCCAGGGGGACACAGGTAGGAAGTGCAATACCTGACTCTAGACCAAGTCAGCTCAAAGCCTGTGTTCCCGACCACTGCATCCTTTCTGTTTCCTGTGAAAACATCAGTTCGCATTCTAGGTAAAAAATTTATATTAAAACAAGATGAAAGTTCTTCAAGGGGCCCACTTCCCCAATGGTGTAATAATATATAAACTTCAATCACAAGATGGCACAGCCAGCCCCAGCTGCCAGCTCTCTCTGTGAACCCAATGCTGGAGATGCTGGAGGACAGAAACAGAATTGTGACTCAGAAAAACCTCAATCAGCAGCTAACACCAAAAAAGCAAGACACTTCTAGAGGCCAAGAAGGTGGCTGGATCCTTGGGTGAAATGGTGGCTGAAGTGGGAGAGAGCCAGGGGATGCCCATGGAGGGGTGGGCTGGGCAGGAGCTGGGTGCCTAGATCAACGCTTAGTTGTGACGGGGCAGAAAAGCGGCAGGCCCAGCTTGGGGCAGGGGAAGGGGAGACACAGCCAGTCCTGTGCACAATAAGCCATGCACAACAAGCGTAGCCATGGCCTCTTCTCCCCACCCTATTACAATAGAGCTAAGTGCAAAACACCCCAGGGGCAAAGGATGCCAGGGATAGGCTGGGTGGCAGTGAGACTGGATTTCAATTCTATAGGCTCCCTCCTGGACGCTCAACCCTTTGACCTCCAAATGTATGAGAAGAAACACAAATTACAGTCTAAGCTTGTCACTACAATCCCACAGTGGCTCTTACAAGCCAAGGCTGCTGAGAGATCAAAGGGCTAAAGATGAGCTCACAGGGAAAATTCAAAGGTATCTGAGGAGCTCCAAGTCTAAGAAAGATAACAAACTGCACAACCTAGACCAGAGGACACAGTAATAAGGAAACAGAATAGAACTGTAAGAAAAAGGTAAATATCCACAGCAAAATAAGAGAGAATAATGAAGCAGGAAGAATCAGTTATGGGGAAGAACCAATTAGAGATGTCAAGGATGGAAAAAATAATTGCTGAGATAAAGAACTTGGTGGGTGGTTAGATAACAGAACAGGTGCATTTGGAGAATGCATTAATAAGCCGACGGAGGGGAGGACTCTCAGAAGCATGAGGAATGGCCGAAGAGATGGGAAGATGAACAGTTAAGAGAAGCGGAGGATGGAAGTAGAAGTATCACTGTAACAGGCTTCTTGGAAGGCTGGAAAAGGATAAATGGCGGGCAGAAAAATATTTGGAGAAAAAAATGACCAAGAATTTCCCAGAACTAAACAAACATTTTAGATATTAAAGAAAGACATTAGGGCCTTAGACTGAAAAAGTTCACAGGGTGCCATATGAGAGCTATCACAGTAAACTTTAGGAATATCAAGGATCTGGCTGGCGGTTAGCTCAGTTGGTTAGGGCACGTGTTGTAACACCAAGGTCAAGGGATCAGATCCCTATATCTTAGACTGAAAAAGTTCACAGGGTGCCATATGAGAGCTATCACAGTAAACTTTAGGAATATCAAGGATCTGGCTGGTGGTTAGCTCAGTTGGTTAGGGCACGTGTTGTAACACCAAGGTCAAGGGATCAGATCCCTATACAGACCAGCTGCAAAAAACAAACAAACAAAAAACACGAAAAACTATCAAAGACCAAGAGAAATTCTAAAAGTTCTCAAAGAGAAAAGGTAAATCTCTTTCAAAGGAGCAAGAACCAGACATCAGATTTCTCAGCAACAACCCTGGATATAAGTAGATAAAGCAGTGACATCTTCAAAGTGTTGAACCTAGAATTTTATCCAGGTAAATTATTGTTTACTTGTGAATGTGAGATGAAAGATCACAAGAGGTCACACAAAGTTAATCTCCTTCAGACTCCCATGAAAGAAACCTCCATTAAGAAGATAAACAAGTTCAGCAGAAAGTAAATTAATGAATTTGGTAAATTTTGTAGTCTGAATGAGTGCCAATAAAAAAAAAATCATCAACTGAACTCTGCTCTTTAATTGACTCAACACAGCTCCCTGCCTCTCTAGCCAACCACCCCCATGTCCCCAAACAGCACGGGAACCTTTCTCTAGCTCCCTTTTTCTTTTCTATTCTTTCTCCCGTCTTCCCACTGGCTGGCTAAACTTACTTGATAACTGGTGCCAGAGGCCCAAATGTCTCTTCTTGAGAGCAAAGCATGTCCCGGGTGACATTGCTGAGCAGGGTGGGCTCAAAGAAATTTTTTCCAAGTTGGTGTCGCTTCCCGCCTGTCACAATGGTGGCCCCTTTGGAAACTGCATCGCTCACGTGTTTTTCTACCTGTGGGGTAAGGAAAAGCCAGTGCCTGAGGATACTTTCCAAATGATATACAGTTGACCCTTGAACAATGCAGTGGTAAGGATGCCGACCCCCCGTGCAGTTGAAAATCTGGGTATAACTTTTGATTCCCCCCAAACTTAACTAATAGCCTCCTGCTGACCAGAAGCCTTACCGAGAATGTAAACAGCCATTAACATATTTGTAAGTTACATGTATTATATATTCTTACAATAAAGTCAGCTAGAGAAAAGAAAATGCTACTAAGAAAATCATAAGAGAAAATATTTACAGTACTGTACCATATTTACTAAAAAAAAATCCATGGATAAGTGGACCATGCAGTTCAAACCTGTGTTGTTCATGGAGTGACTGTTGTCTCTCAGGATGTTTATACTGTAGAAAACTCAGTCTACTTTGTACCCCACAAATATGTACAATTGATTACGTTTCAATAAAAAAAAGTTTTAAAAACTGTAGAAAATTGGTTTTCTTTTTTTTTCTTTCTTTTACTTAAAAAATAGGTTAAAAACAAAGCATCCTGGTTCCTTCCACTGAGAAGGTCTGAATAAGTGACAATAAAAAAAAAATCATTAACTGAATATCTGGCTTGCACGATGCCTTCTTCATCCTGCTCTTTGATCTTCCAGCCATTTGATCCTACTGCTTGTTGAACGGTCTCCTGTCCACTGACTTCCTTCTAGGCCTCCTGCTCAGCTGTTTTCCTGGGATTTGCTTTCACTGCAGTCCAGGGTTAGTCCCAGTTTCTGATCTCACGTCGTCCTCTTTCCTGGACTGCGCTTTCCTTTTGTTCTGATCCATTCTCTTTAAGTAGCCATTTTGATGAAGGTGTGCCGGAAGTGGTTTACACTGACTTTTCTTACACTGCACGTCTACATATCTTGTGCCCCAGCTGATCGATAATTTAGTTGGTTACAGAATTTTGATCCAAAATATTTTTCCTTCAGATCTTTGAGTGTACTTTTCTATTGCTAGCGTTCTTGGTGGAAAGTCTTGATGAAAAGTCTGATTCATAAACGGTTCTCATTCCTTTATGGGATAGCTTTTTCTCCCTCTAGAACCTTCTAGGATCTTCTTTCATGTTCGGACATTCTAAAATTTTAGCAAAATATACCTGTTTTTTTTTTTCTTTTCATTCATTCTACTTGGTAATTAGTGAATTAAATAATTCATCTGAAGAATTATCTTTCCCTAGCTCTGAAAAGTTTTTACCTATTACTTATTTGAGAATGTCATTTCCTCTATCTTCTCAATTCTTTCATTCTAGAACTCCTATTACTAAGATGGATATCCCCCCTTCCCTCATTTTTTTGCATTTCTATCATTTTTTAAAATCTATCTTTTGCTTTAAATTCCATGACACTTTCTCAATTTGATCTTCCATACTCAGTTACTGATTTTTGACAGTCGTGTGTTTAGTTTCTACAGACTCTTTCTTGCTTTCACTGCTTCGTTTTCATAGAACTTGCTTCTTGTTTTAGAGATGGACCATCTTTTCAAAATTCTTAGAGGACATTATTAGATGTGTCCTTTTGATCCTACTCCCTTTCTGCTCCCTATTTATCTGCTTCCTCCAGGGCGTGTCCTGTTTGTTCTTCCTGACCCTTCCTCCTACTTGCTGATGGTTTTCCCTACAGGTGTCATGATTTTTGGTCATTTCTCTTTCTGGAGGACTGAGTTGATTAATTTAGGTGGGTGGCACGGGTGGCCTTGGCTGTTTCCAGTCCCTCCTCTGATTAAGGGGGACAAATGCAAACTTGGGTTTATTCTGACTTAGCAGGATTCACCTAAGGGCACTACCCTCTTCCCCAAAGGGCGAAGCCAGGAGAGCCCCACTCTGGTGTACTTCCCCTCTCTCTTGAACCTGTCACCTTCCTAGGCAGGCCACTGAATTTCTTCAGAAGTACCGTCCTGCCCAGAACAAATGCCTCTGCTGTCCTGTGTGTAATGATGGTGGTGGTGATGGTGAAAAAGTGTAATCAATCAGCTCATTTCTCCTCTCCTCCGATTCCCACTTTCTATACCAAGCAATTCTAGAAAGGCTCCATCATAGAAAAATGGCACCAACTTCCTCTGCATGATTCCCCTGGGCAGACTTTTCTTAATCCCTTCTGCCTTCCAGAAGTTCATCATAACCTTTGGCCCACTGGATTTTCTACAGTTTCTGAAGAGAGATAAATATAGGCTTGGGCACATTCTGCCATCCAGATTATTCTCCCTTTCTAAATCCATGCTCCCTACAATGGTCTCATAGTCCATCATCTGCAACAAATCTCCATCGACCAGCATGACTTATTTCCTATGATTTATATTTTAAAATTATTCTACCTAACTTACATAACAGGGGCCTACCCACTTTCCCCCAACTAGAATCTGCTCTGCCTTTTTCTTGTCATATTAAATGTGACATGCAGCAACTTTTTTTCCTGGAGTCTGCTCTGTGACAGTATGCACATGAAAGCCACCACAATGGACTGTTTTTAAACAAGGTGGTTTCCACCAAATTTCTCTCCACCAAAAAAGAAGTCCTGCAATTGTGCTTGCTTGAAGTCCTAGCGTTACAGTGTCATCTAGAGGGTGATGTCTGCATCTTCATTTTGGAAAAAAATTCTCCAGGACAGTGCGGTTTTCCAGCCTGGCTGCAAACTAGCATGATGGGGCACTTGGGAAACGCCAATGCTTAGGCCCTGTTCCCAGTGAATTAACACTCAATCTCCTCAGATTGGACTCAGGCATCTGTAGTTGTTAAAGGCATGGTGTGACTTGAGAACCTCCACTCTGGGACTTGAACCATGGCTGGTACAGAGCCAAACTGCCTTCACTAGCTGAGTGAGCACCCTCTGATTTGTCCCCAGGGTCCAAAGTCACCTCTAAAATGCAGGTGGTACTGATGTAAACTTTAATGAATTTTCTCTATCTAAAGTAATCCCATGGTAACAGCTAGAAATTTACCACAGCTTTGTCAAACCTCGATGCTTCCCTGGATTCCCACCGGGAGGTGCAGCAGACGTGGTTTCAGCTGAACTGACTGCCCACAGGGTCGGGGTGCCCATGGGGCAGAGCTTGGCCCTCTGGAAACCAATGCACAGTGGCTGGGCTGTGCCGCCTGCATGAGTACTAACTTGTCCACTTGATTTGGGTTCTTCAGGTGACACCCAGGGGCTAGTATTTTTTAAAAAACAGTAGAACAAGGGCCGGCCCGGTGGCACAGTGGATAGTGCGCCGCTTGGGAAGCGTGGCGGCGCTCCCGCCCGAGGGTTCGGATCCCATGTACAGACCGGTTCCCGCTCACTGGCTGAGCGAGGCGCGGGAGCGACGCCGAGGGTTGCAATCCCGTTACCGGTCCCGGTCCGGTACGGGGGCAACACTGAGGGTTGCGATCCGTTGCCGGACACGGAAAAAGACAAAAAAAACAAAAAACAAAAAACAAAAAAACAGTAGAACAAGGAGAGAAATTTCACCTAGCTAGTAGTCTGCATTGTGACATTTTGTCCAACAAACATATCCTTCCTAAAAGTAGTTTTCTTTCACCATCCCTCAGTCCTGAACATGGCATCTGTAATTCCACAACCTATTGCTGGGAAGCTTCCAGCACGGATTCTTCTGGAAGGGCATTTTGTCATCCAGGGAAGAAACAACAGACAAATGGCAGTATTACAGCTGAAACATAAACCAGCTCAAAAACAAAGCTGCTCTTCCTTTCCTTGTAGGGTTCCAAAACATGAAAGAGCTTTGTGCTGCGAGAGCCTAATTCCTGAGGCACCAAGGGACAAGACTATTACCACTGAAGCAGAAAATTTACAGAGGGCAGCAGAAGACCTGAAGTGGAAGATCTCATCGGAACTCAGTGTAGTAACAGAGCTGGAGAACCTCATGACTAAAGATGCCACCAGGTTCATGCAAAGTGGTAGAAATTCACTTTTTCCAGATTTTCCCATTGTTTCTAAAATAGCCTTGCTGGGCACTTTACCAAAGTGCTACTTCCAGCTTTTGATATTGAAACCGTGAAATTTAGTTTGACGGATAAAAAAATGAACTTACCTTTTCTATGGCTTTTTCATTAATTAATGGGCCTTGAGTGGTTCCCTCCTCAAATCCATTACCTACACGCAGGTTTTTCTTCATTGCCTCAGCAAAATTTTTTACAAAGGAATCATGGATACCTCTTTGCACCAAGAATCGGTTTGAGCAAATACAAGTCTAGAAAGAGGACAAAAACAAATCCACACAAACAGTTTGTTAGAAGCTGTTGACCCAACCCATACCTGTGTGACTGCTGCCACCTCTCTGCAGAAACACTTCCCCAGGTGATCCATGTGTACAGTCTGCTATTTTCCTCTCCACATGGACTCAGCCCCAAAGATAAATGCACCCAAAGATAAATGCAAAGATTGAGTGCACCTTCTCCTCCAACTCCCCCCACAGATGCTACACACCTGCAGTTAAACTTTATAAAACAAATAGCTTTTTGCTATTTAAAAAAATAAAAAGGCTGCAGCGCTCCTGAGAGACTGTTGTTCTGCCACAATGGAGCGGAGCTAGAAGGAACGAGGTCAAACACTAACATATCCTTTAGCTCAAATCTTGCATGCATTTGGCTGAATCTGACATTTTAAAAGTGGACACAGACCATACTATCATGTCAGCCTAAATTATTGAAAAGACCCTTGCTTATTTTTTTCTAATTAGACCTAGTATGTTTAAATTATAAAATATAACAACCACTTTACAGGAAACGTAGTTATCATTGATAAATTTGTTTCTTGTCTTTTTTCTTAATTATCTATTTTCCCAGAAGAAAATATTGTACATACAGTTATTTTGTGTCCTATGCATTTTTTTTTTTTGCTTAATGCAACATAACCCAAAATTACAGCATTACAGTATAATTCCGAAGGTTACATATATTGGCATATTGTGTTTGTAAAAGGAAACATATCTATTTCTGAAAAAAATACCAAGTGTAGGTTATGTGAAAGGGGAAAAATTAATTACCAAAGGACAAAACAAGGATGAAAACTAATACAGAACATTACACATTTCATCTTTTTTTTACAATATCTATTATATCTATTCCACTTCTAGAAAGCATTTAAAATCACTTAGTGATGGTACTTTTAAGATAAAGTGCTTAGGAATATTTTTTAAGGAGCCAGGGTCCTGGCAGCAGCTTGGACGGAAACTGGGAGACAGGACCCTTGGCCCAGGCCTAGCTCCTTAGCAGAGTTGGGACTGTGGCCCAAGGAAGGATGATCTCAAGTCACTCAGTCTTTCTAGTTTCATTTCCTCATCTGCAAAATGCAAGGCTGGTATCAGACAACTTTCAAAGTCCCTGTCAGATTTAATATTCCAGGATTTCCTATGAAGATGTGAGCTCAGGCCTCCACTCTCCCAGGACAACTGGGACAGTCCCCAGGCACCCTGCTAGTCCCTGCTGTGTTCCCTGGTGTGGATCCCCTGATGTCCCCCCACCTCAGGAAGAGGGAGACCCAGGTAGGTCTTAGTAAGCAACAGGGTTTTGAGTTTGTCCAGATACCATCCTCCATTTTCCTACCTTCCTTCCCTTAAGACTATGGATCTCGCACCCTAGCTGTCTAAGGGCTGTTTTGTATCTGAGGAGATGATTCTATCAGTTCAGTTGAGAAAAGCCCAGTGGGGGAAAACTATGAAAATAACTAGATTCAAAGAGTATGGGAAAGAAGGGAAGAGAGAACAATCTGACTAAAAACATTTGCTGTTCAGGATATTCTTTGAAAAAAGGGATTATATCTTATTTCTCTTTGGACTATCCAAGCCTAGCATAGTCCCTAGCAAAATAAAGGCACTTACTAAATATTTGCTGAAAAAAATGAATGAATAAGGAATGAACAAGGGAAGGAACCCAAAAGTTTCCTTCCAGGAGATGAGTAAGGCAGCAGAGATGGTAGGATCTTTGTACAACACACACCCACACACACCCTGAAAAACTCTACAGGACTCACCTGTCCAGAGTTCCTAAATTTAGATGCCAGGGCCCCTGCTACAGCCTGGTCCACGTTGGCACTGTCAAATACAATGAATGGAGCAAGGCCACCCAGCTCCATGGAGACCCTCTTCACAGAGTTTGCTGCATGACGCAACAGGATCTGTAGCAGAGGAGAGACTGCTGTGAACACCCAAATCAAGTGCCAGGACTATTAAGCCTTTTTTTAAAAAAATTACCCAACAGTGAAAAAAGCAAGGTGCACAGTAGTGTATATGGAATGATACTCTGCAGAAAAGGGAGAAACAAGAGTATATATATTAACATTTGCTTGTGTTCGATAAAGAAACACTGAGAAGATAAGAAGAAACTGAAAGTAATAACTTATAGAAGTAGGGGAGGGAGTCAGGGACAGGGCGAGGGTGGCACTTCTCAAGATAAACACGTCACTACTGTCTTGATTTTTGAACCATACAAGTGTATTCCCTTCTCAAAAAAATGATATGATTAGGCTTAAAAATCATAATATACAGATAAGGTAATAAATCACACAGAATCCCACAACCATAGTTTTCCACTGATAACATTTTAAGATACATCCATTCAGAATATGGCAACACAAGTTCATGTATATGTATTTTTTTTTAAAAGGAAACAGGATGGTATAATTATACAGCTTGGTAACCTGCTTTACCTTCTTAATTAACCATCTATTTGAAACATCATCATATATTCATAACACTTTATACTTTACTCCTTTAATGCAACACTATAATGTGATTTTCTCATGCCAGCACATGTGTTTCTAGAACATTTCTGCAGATGCTTACATAGTATTCCATTGCATGGCTATTCCACAATTTATTTATCCAGCCCCAAACTGCTGGATATTTAGGTTGTTTCTAATTCTTTGCTACTAAAAACAACACTGCAGTTATTCCCTCAGGGTTAATTTGTAGAAATAGAATTGCTAGCCCCATGCACAACTGTAAGGCTTTGATACACATAACTATTAGGCTTTAAATATCCAGAAAGAGATGTTATGGCCTAAGAAACTCTTCAGGGACGTTTAAGTGCTTTAATACAGGCTAGGAGGTCTTTGCCCAGTCATGGCTTCAAGCCAGATGGAATCTCTTGAGACAGTTCAAATGAAATGGACAGTATTCACAAGCCCAAGGCTGCTCTAGGAATGAGTCCACCAAGCGATGAGCACCCTTGGGTCATGGACTTTGTGAGAGGACCCTTGCTAAAATGCCAGACTGGCTGAAAAGCTGTGCCTGTGCCAGTGCTTCTCCATATGCTCAGTGGTTAATGCTCCAGCAATCAAACAGTAGTGACAATCTTCTCACTCAAGTGTTACTACTCAACAAAGCAGAGTGAGTTTTAAGATTACACATATTTATTGGACTTAACATAGCTATTTTAATTTTGAATATTTAAGAAATGCCATCTGCCAGGCCATTGGCTTTTCCTGAATTTGCTCCAGTGTAAAAAAGATTCTCACTGTTGGGTCACTCCATCTCACCTCCACTGGCTTTGGGCACAGGGCCTGTCTCATGGTGTCTGTCCCTCCACATGCACTTGCTCTGCATCCTCCGACAGTGTCTTCTTCCTACTCTATCTCTGCTTTCCCCATGACGATGCCCTGCACCTGGCTTTGGCCTGCCATGGCCCCTGGAGTACTGCATGAACTGCTGTCACCTCCTGATGAATCCTTTCAGCTCCGGTTCCCACTGCTGACCTCCACAGGGCCTCAGCTTCCAGAGTCGGAATGTGCTTGGCCCAGCTCACCTTCCTATGCCGGGCTATTTGTCCTAGGTCACTGGCCAGCCTACAGATTCCATTTTCCTCTAGTCAAACAACCACTCACGGCTCAGTTCTCTGTGGGGGAAGAGACAAGGTGTCATATGCTGTAAAACGTAGCTGCTGTCCCCTCAGCAGGGCCCTAGGCAGGATGGACCCCCAGAAAGCAGTGAGGGTGTGGCACGTGCCTCTAGAACAGTTTAGGCGCAAGAGTCTACACCCCAAGACCAGGAACTCAGCCACTGACTCCCTGTGAAGATCAGCTCAGAAGAAGCCCTTGATACAGAGGTAAGTTATTTTTTTTGCAATACTTGTCACTTGAGGAGAATCACTGTCCTTGGTAAATAGGAGCAAAGCTGGATTTGGCAGGAACATGGTCAGCGTTTTCCTGGAGGCCTGTCAGAGGATGACAGCGTGCTGAAAAACTGAGGAAAAGCAGCAGAGAGGTTTCTGCCCTTTGCTCAACATCCTGGGAATTTCTCCGGTTTGAACAGCAAAGGTTTATAACCCTTTCTCCCAGACTTCTCTGTCTTTCTCTACTTCACAGTATATCTGAATCCCTCTGAGAGTCAGTTTGCATTGCAAGATCCATTAATCAAGGGCGTGGCAGTTTGTGGATCTAAAAATTCCTGTTTCTGATATGATGAATGGTAGGACTCCAAAGTGCTTCTGCCCGAGCATGAGTTTCTGGCAGGACGAAAGTGATTATGGTTGGGAGCGATTCACACTGCTTTATTCCTTCCTGTTTCTCGTGGTTTCTAAAAATGACCACAATTTCACAGAAACTTTCTTTTTTTTTTTTTTTTTTTTTTTTTTTTTTTTTTTTTTTGACGAAAGTGATTATGGTTGGGAGCGATTCACACTGCTTTATTCCTTCCTGTTTCTCGTGGTTTCTAAAAATGACCACAATTTCACAAAAACTTTCTTTTTTTTTTTTTTTTGTCTTTTGTCTTTTTCCGTGTCCGGCAACGGAACGCAACCCTC